GAGAGAGAGAGAGAGAGAGAGAGAGAGAGAGAGAGAGAGAGAGAGAGAGAGAGAGAGAGTGTTTCAACCTGTGGCCCGCGTTCAGGAAAGCCGCCCCTAATATCACCTGCTTTGGCTGGCGCAGACGGACCAATGACATGGTCAACTGGAGAAGGATCCACATTAAGACACTTAGGGCTACTAGTCACAAAAAGAGGGCCCCTTCCCAGGAATGGGGCACAGTGCATTAAGAAAATGAGAAATAGAATGGGACTGCGAAGGACTCCACCTCACTCAAGGCAGGGCAGTGACTGTAAATTCTTCGGTCTTTTTGATGATTCGGTGCTTAGCCTCAATTTGATCCCTTCTCGACTCCTTCCTTACAAAGACATTTCAGAGGAGAGCTAAAACCTTCCTGGGGCCGGGTGACCCAGCCAAACAGATCTGCATTCCAGAAGTAGCATGTCACATTCTGACTAGACGACAAAGAGGGTGGTTTAGAAATCATTGACCACAGAGCCAAGAAAACAGACACATCCCAGAATAGACAGTCAGCCAGAGGAACAGGCCACAACTGGCTAGCATGAACTAAAACGATTCCGCCGAAGGCGAGATCACCAGGATCAAGCAGGGAGCCATAAATTCCACCCAGGAGCAAAACGCCTCAGAAGACCGTACAAAACAACAAAACTACTCAGCTGACCTTAGATAAATTAACCCACATGGATCGAAAGGAAAAATGCACAAGCATTGCAGGAATAAGGATCTGCTCTACCTGGGTTAATGTGGAGAGGGAGATAGAGGCTCAGAGAAGAATATGTGGGGGCTAAAGGACGGTCAACACTGGCTCGATTCCAAATGAAGATGGCATAAGAAGCAGTTCGGAACTTTTGCCCATAATGAAAAGATGTAGGTTCATATTGCAGGACTGCGTAGTGGAGAATGAGCAAGATTCATTATTCTCCAAAATTCCAAATCAAATAAACCCCGACTTGCTGGTGGAAACGGACCCAGGTTGATTACTCCTAAAAAATTATAGAAATTTAAACTCCCGGGTATCAAGACCTCCCTGCAGCCATGGCATCATGTGGGCAAAGCTATGAAGCAGACCAAGTTTTCTGACAGGGGATGAAGTAGTAAGGACGCTTACCTAAGCAAGAGCGGAATTCCATCTCAATGTATGTGAAGTGCCATGCTACGGCCAACGATATTCCCTTATTGATTTGCATCTCCGCATCATCTGGGCTACCAGCCATTTCATAAAGCACCGCCACCTTCATCAAGCAACCACAATCAAAGACGAGGGTCAGAAAGCTGACACACAAAAGCCTTTATTCCTATCAAGCACCAAGCCTTGACCACAAACAGCTTGCATCTCGCATTTTGTGCACGCTGCTTGGGAGCATATCATGCATGCAAATCTTATCACTTCAGTTGGTCGTTGAAAGCTGGAAGAACTAATTCCCTTGGGGCATAGGTGTGTGTCGCAACACGGTTGCCACATTGGCGCTATAATAAGCAGAGAGCTAAAACAGGCACACATGCACATCATATTTGGAGCCAGGGCTGATCTCCCTCCCGAACCAAATATGTGGGCACATTTAGTACCACAGTGTATCAACTACAAAGTACCACAGTGTATCCACTGGGAGGAAAACCAGGTGAAACGCCAGTGCTGGAACTCTATCGCGTGCAGGGCTTTCCATGTACTGTGGATGAGCAGGAAATGCCCGGCACATCTGGTTAGTCAATATAGCCATGGACCAACATAGGTGAACCGATTCAAGCATCAGAGTCGATCTAGAAGTGGATTGTGACGAAGAGAATCTGGAGTAAGTCACCCCACCACACCAACACACAACGTAAGAGAGGTTTGTGAACCAGGCTATCGAAATGAAAGCACTTTTAGTAGAACTGATGGGATCATCAGTCTGCAATTGCTCCCGTCTCGAACATGTGTGGCCACATGACAGAGTTCAGGCAAACATCAATGCAGGCTGGGATGAAGATAAGCACCTCAGAAATGATTTAACACAAGCACACAAACACAGCAGAAAGGAGCACACTTCGGATGTGACGGATGTGAACTGTAAATAATCTCCTCCCAGGTGAAGCAGTCATCAGAGTATTGAGAAAACAGACTAGCATCAGTGATACCGTTGATGTGATGCCAACTACACGTTCCTTATGTTCCTGCCCAATTCATGATGCAAAAGAGAATGTCATTCACCGCAACTCAAAAGAAGTGGAATGAGACACACAAAGGAGGAGAAGGAGAGGAAGAAGGGGCAGAGGAAGAGGAAGAGAAGAAGAAGCAGAAGAAGAAGAAGAAGAAGAAGAAGAAGAAGAAGAAGAAGAAGAAGAAGAAGAAAGAAGAAGAAGAAGAAAGAAGAAGAAGAAAGAACAATGTCTCCTCCCTTATCACTCCGCCTCCATCATCATCCTCACATAACTCCCATTTATCATTCACAATAATCATAATGAATGAATGAATGGACAAGAATCAATGTCCGAAAGATCCCCCTCACTGCCAGTGTTGAAAGAACTCTTCTTTAGCTCTCCTGTACCTCTCTTCTCTCTCGTAGTACAACTGGTGGGTAAGGCAGCTCATCCCCTTCAGCAAGGGATGTGCAGAAGGCAATGGACTACTTCCACTCCTCCCTCAACCGCAGTGCCAAACTCATGGATGGAGTTCATGTCCAGCTGGTACCTCAAGAGGGGGACTTCAAGGCGCAGCACCAACCAAGGAGGAAGATGGAGGCCCACCATAGCCAAAGGGAAGTCTTCAAGTCAGTTCCCTCTTTCTTCGCTCTTCTTCACCTACTACAGACCCTCAAGATGCCAAGCAGGATGACTCCTGGGTGAATGCCTGGGCCTACTAGTTGCCCGAAATGATACACTCTTGATTGTCAGCCTCGAGTCTCTCTACCCTGGGAACTCTCAGCCTGGAGCGGTGCACTTGGGCCTACCGGTTGTTTCTGCCTTTTGGTGGGAAACATCATTGCAGTCTGTCATCCTACCCAAAGACAATGTAACACAACCTAACTTGACCCGATACAGTTCTGGTAACAAGACGTAACTTGACCGAATACACTCCTGGTACCATCATTACCTACCTGGTGATAGGTTGCTAACATACCGGATTTGTAGGGCTTCTCCGAGTTGCTGAAAAATCCCTACTGGGTCCCTAGCAAATTCTACTTTCGTTTGTGGCCTCCCTTTCCCGTAAGTTGTTCTGAGGCCGAACTTTGGTGCTGTCCCTTAAACAATGCCTTTTTTTTTTCTTTTTTTCTTTTTTCGAGCAACTTCAACGGATTATCATATTACACAAATTGAGAGTTCAGATAACCAGCGGCGATGAGTTAGCATATGGACACAGACTGAGACTTCGACACCTTAACGGCAAGCACACGGACATAAATACATCAGCAGAAAATAGAAACTCAAATAAGGCACGGCAAAACAGGCTCAAACTCAGAAGTCTCAGCAAAACGTATCACAGCAAGTTTCTGACAAACATTGCAGATTTCTGAGTTCGTAACAGCACGGGTCATTGCATGTTGAACCCACCACGTTAGTTTCATCGGAGTATCACATCTATTAACGAACTCCATAGGGACAGTCATGAACAGAAGCAGACCAGCAAAGAGAACGCACCAATGCAGAGTGCAAAAGGCTCACCGCACTACGAAAGAGATCATCGCTCTAGTAGGGACGTGACGAACAAACTTGGCAGTCATGGTCGTTCAGTGAAACACAATTTAGCTTCGATTGAAATATTTCCACTACAATTGTCTGCTTACAACAACTAACCAAACCAGAGAAAGGTATTCCAGCACTCCGCACTGATGCATTCTCGATGGGAAACTCTTCTTCTTGTTTTCAACAAAAGCTGGATTCTCCTTATTATTCTGGCATCTAAATGATGGCTCACTCACCTGCATCAGGCTCTCGAGGTAGTCTCCTAGCAAACGCCATTGGTTAATTGTTGTTGCCACGTCATCCAAATCAATCTCCTTTGGCCCCACCATCTCAGCCCAAGGCACAACACGGCCACAGGCAATCTTTCTGCAAGTACTGTTTTCTCGCTTGAGGTCCTGTTTTTGCATTTCCGATCCCTGAGATATCTCTTCTTTCCCAGGCAAACAGATACCATCCTTATCATTCACGTCCACGTCTTCGTCACACTTTCTCTCCTCTGTGAAAATACTGGAGAATGCTCCATACCGCATGTGGCAGGCCTCTATTGCCGTGCAGAGTGCCTGCGCAGAATCACCATCACACCAAGTGGGGGAACTATCATTACCTGCCTGGCTGCTAGCCGCATTGGATGTGAAGTTTCAACTTCAAATCAATGCTTCACGACCATTCCACATGTTGAAGCACGGGGATGGTGAGTCGGTTTGTCAAGAAATGACACACAAACACATATCTATATAAAGTTATACATCCAAAAAAAAAAGGAATCACATTGTTCCCAGTCTCACCCGAGCATGCCTGCAAATCTCTCTCTCTCTCTCTCTCTCTCTCTCTCTCTCTCTCTCTCTCTCTCTCTCTCTCTCCCCCTCCCCCTCACCCTCTCCCTCACTCGCCTCCCTAACCCCCCCCCCCCCCCTCCCACCCCCCCCCCCCCCCCCCCCCCCCCCCCCCCAACCCTTTTCAACCCCACACAGTCAACAAATACCACAATAATCACACTACAGCCCGATCCAGCAGCATGGACCCAGACCATCGAAGTCTGGCAAACAACCCTTCCTCAAACAATGAAAAACAATTGCACCTGACAACTATAACAATTACCGCAAATGATAATACAACCCAACTTGTAAATTCCGCACAAAGCTCCCACAAAACCTCAGCCACGGATATCCATGAGCAAGGCCCGTTTTTTTTTTTTTTGGGGGGGGGGGTCAAACAATGATTAGTTGAAGGGATTTCACGCTGCAGACGGGTCCCAGTCCCTATCCAAGAGTGCCAAATGGTCCCGGTCCCAGGAGGGACCAGTAGTTCGGGTCCTAGATCCGTAGGGTTCACAGGTCAAAGCATCGTAGCTCGGTAGAAGTCGGGTACCGAAGCATCACGAGTCTGCACCGGTCTGCAAGTCCCGACAGGAAAAGTCAAGCTCCAAAAGTCCAATTTCACAGCAGCGTCCCAAGGCCGACGGGAAACAGTCCAGACACATCCGAACATGCAGCAGACAGGCCGACACGACCGTTACCTATCGGAAAGAGGCCACCGGTGAGTTCAGCAGATTATTTTTAGCTGCTAAAGTGCCGGAAAACTTTGCAAGTTCTGGAATCGCTGCTGGTTGCTTGTGCAATAGGCGACTAGGGAGACGTGTGCCAGAGGCACTCGAAGAACTGTACGTCTGGGCTACCAATCGGGCCGCGTGGGTCACCTTAGTTGCCCAGGCGGCCCCAGCCAGGCGAGGGTTGGGAAAGGCCGCTGCCAAAAAAAAACAAAAAAATCTGAAAAAGATTTATTTCAGGCAGAAAAACAAACTGAACAGCTTTTGCCTCAGGGTCACATTGAAATTCTTTACCAATTTTAAAATTAAGAAAAAAAGCTAAATAAAAATTAGGCTGCCAGACTGGCCGGGCCAGAAAGAAAATAAAAATAAATATATTTTTCCTTTTGTTTTTCATTTTTTTGATGTGACCTTGAGGCCAACGTTATTCAGCTCCTTTGTGTAGTTTAGACTATTTAGAGTAGTGTTACCTAAGAGTTGGAAGTTGGTACTCTTGATTTTCCAGTTCGACACCGTCGTACCTTTTGTGCATCTTCTTGCACTGCGTCCAGAGATGGGCTTGGCCAAATGTGCCTTGTCCAGCCTGTGTGGCTGCAGTACTCATGTGAGGTATGCCGGGCCCCATTTCCCGGCTATATAAGATTTTCGTTTTTGTGAAAAAAATAAAAAATGTTATTCACTAATATTCAGCAATTTCAGCTAGACTTTTTTCTGCATAATGCGAGGAATGAGCCCTCGCGGGGCCCTTGTCAAGCATGCACATGCTCTGGGCAGAGGCCCCAGCAAGCCAAGTGCCCGCCCTAAGCGAAAGCGGGCCTGAATATTCACTAAAGGCCAAAATTCCACATTTTGCATATGTGGGTACTCAGGCTGTTGCAGCCCGCCAGTTGGTTGAGTGGACACGTGAACCTCCCTAAGCTGCATCTTACAGTTTGGGCCAGCCCTTGACTGTTGCGCCTGCGCACATACACGCGATGCAGGGCCGATACATCACGAAGTGGCCACAGGCCTACGCAAAAGCAGCACTGTCGACGTACATACCTCGGGTCCTGTGCAATGCAGCAAACGGCCCAAGTCTGGAGACTCAGGCCGTGCCCAACTGTAAAGGGCCCAGGCCCTCAACTGTAGCACTCGGCCTGTGCGCAGGCACTGGGGCCCAACCGGAAGCAACTGGAAGCTTCCAGCCAGGCCACACGCAGCCAAGCAGAGGCTGCCACTTCCATATAGGAAGGAAGGCAGCCAGGGTCTGGCATTCTGGCCCATGCAGGCAATGTGGTCACGCTGCTGCGTTAGAGGCTGCGTGCTGCGTTGCGGCCAGGGCGCTTGCGGGGCGCACGAGAGGTGAGAGGGGCACTGCTGGGCAGCGGAGCGCTAGCAGCCATAGCCGGGCTGCAGGGTGCTAGGCGGTAAGAGGGCGATCAGTGGTTTTCAGGAAGGAGGTGAGTGCGGGTGGACAGCGTCTGATGAGGGGAGGCGAGATACGTACCTGGTACATGAGAGAGGTTGGCTATGGTGTTGACGTCATGTACATTGGTCTTCGAGAGTCGAAGTGAGCTTGTTGCGAGAATGCTGATGCAGGTAGGATAATCGAGTAGTGTAGGCAGGTAGGATAATCGAGTAGTGTAGGCTGGGCGCTCCGCACCAGACAGAGAGGAGCGACTTTGGATACTGTGTTGGTGTGGCCTGAGGGCTTGAATATTGGCTCATTACTTCATTGTATTGCTCTTATTTGGATGGATTCTCGGCGCATTGGTGCTCTCTGCTTGTACATGACTACTTGGACATCTGTGTGATTTCGCAACTTGGCTTTTTGTATATCGTTCCCACTCATGTTCCTTGCAATAACATCTAGGCTACCAGCCCTACCGCTCGGGTCACCCTATTTTCCCGGGCGGTCTGGCCGTGCAAAGACCAGGGAAGGCCCCAGCAAAGGGAAAAAAATAAATAAAATAAAAAATCAAAACATCCGAAAAAAAACGTATGTTATGCAGAAAAATTAACTGGACAACTTTTGCCTCAGGGTCACATCGAAATTCGTTAAACCACCACTACCTTTCACAGGCAAACGCAAAGTCCATCTAGTAGGCTACTCCTGAAAGCGAGGGGCTCGGGGCAGGGTTGGAGGCCGAAAAATAAAAATAAAAAAAAGAAGAAAAAAAAGGAAACAAAAAAGAGCAAGGACGTCGGGGAAGGCCCTCACGAGGGTGGCACGTAACCAGTGCTTTGAGGAATGTATCCGGCCACTATGTGGGGAAGTGTTTGCTTTTTTGTTTCTTTTTGTTTTTGTTTTCATGGCGTTGTAGTGCCCTGCCAGCCAGGCATGGCGAATTTCACGGGGTGGCTCGTAACTGTCTCAAAGCTGTAGCATCCTGTATCCGCCCTGAATCACAGCACAAGGGAGCTTTTTGTTTTTTTTTGTTTTTGTTTTTCTGTTGTTTGTCAGCTACACGCCCTCACTGAGGGCACAGTCACACGAGCACCTCATAGAATGTATCTGGACTCTGGAGGTTATCGAGGCTTTCCCGAAGTTTCTTTTTTCTTTTTCTTCTTTTTTTTCCCCCTTGTTCCTTCTTGGATCGAAGTGCCCCAGCTCGGCGGAACTCGGTGTGCAGTGAAAATCAGGCTTGGCAAAAACAGGGTCGGAGGTAGTGGTGGTTTAACAGATTTAAAATAGTAAATAAATAAAATTAAAAATTGATTTTCATTTTTTTATTTATTTTTGGCCCGGCTGATCAAGTGGTCCCGGGCCATTCTGGCAGCCTGCGAAAAGCAGAAACAATAAGGTTTGGTCTCATCAGGAAAGTGACGCTACGGGTCATATGGAAAGAGAGACGCAGCAGAACAACCGAAGGGCGGCCCAACCCAAGGAGGAAAGGTTTGGACGGACTCCAATCAACGGTACAGGCCGAGTTCCACTGCAGATGGCAGAAAACCAAGTAAACATGGTCAGAGGACGAGGAGCAGCAAAAGAGGGGGAGACAGAGTTATGACAACAATTGGTTGATAAACAGCAAGATTGCAGAAACACGAAAAGATCGGACCGGACGGAAAGAGTGGCACAACTAATTATCAGAAGGGAGCTACCAACAACAGACAACTCCTCGAAAAGCAGACGGACGAGGATAACACGGTAGGGGTTCAGGAGTAAAGGGATAAAGATAAAGAAGTTCAGAGACAGGCAGCACAGCACCAAGAGTCAGGGGGGCGGCGGAGTCAGAGACAGACAGGGAAACACGTATGGCGACAGCATAGCTAGGACATGAACTCAAGAGGGACTGGGTGCCCAGGGTATGACACCATCTCTGCGTCCAGAGCCAATGACTGGGCGTTCGGAAAGGAAGGACAAGATTGGAGGGCAGATGGAACCGGAGGAGTGGCCTGCTAGGGCACTGCAAAGAGAGGGATTAGGGGTTAGGGTTTTAAGACGATATTTATGTACGAAAAAGAATCCTTGAAGTATTAAAAAAAAAAAAAAAATGGAATGTGTGTGTGTGAGAGTTATCGTCTCTCTCTCTCTCTCTCTCTCTCTCACTCTCACTCTCTCTCTCTCTCTCTCTCACACACACACACACACAAACACACACACACACACACACACACACACACACACACA